TGCAATGCGTTTTTATAATGTAGACGTGCTATTGCGCAAGAAGTTTTTGTGGAAGATCACTGGGCACCCAGTTTTCGGAAATTGAAGGTCCGTGTCCTCACTTTAGACAATTGATCAAGTCCACATTAGGGAGTGTGCTGTCAACTCACTGAGCGTGAAGGACTGTGGTTAGCTTTTTTTTCCAAAGTGCATTACTTTACTGCAATGCGTTTTTATAATGTAGACGTGCTATTGCGCAAGAAGTTTTTGTGGAAGATCACTGGGCACCCAGTTTTCGGAAATTGAAGGTCCGTGTCCTCACTTTAGACAATTGATCAAGTCCACATTAGGGAGTGTGCTGTCAACTCACTGAGCGTGAAGGACTGTGGTTAGCTTTTTTTTCCAAAGTGCATTACTTTACATTTATCAGCACTAAATTTCATTTGCCATTTTGTTGCCCAATCACTTAGTTTGGTGAGATCTTTTTGAAGCTCTTCACAGTCTGCTTTGGTCTTAACTATTTTGAGCAGTTTGGTATCATCTGCAAATTTTGCCACTTCACTGTTTACCCCTTTCTCTAGATCATTTATAAATACATTGAATAGGACAGACCCTTGGGGGACACCACTAGTTACCTCTCTCCACTCAGAAAACTTACCATTTATTCCTATCCTTTGTTTCCTGTCTTTTAATCAGTTACCAATCCATGAAAGAACCTTCCCTTGTATCCTATGACAACTTACTTTACTTAAGAGCCTTTGGTGAGGGACCTTGTCAAAGACTTTCTGGAAATCTAAGTATACTGTATCCACTGGATCCCCTATGTCCACAAAGAACTCTAACAGATTAGTAAGGCATGATTTACCTTTACAGAAACCATGTTGACTTTCCCCCAATAAATTATATTCATCCATGTGTCTGACAATGTTATTCTTTATTATAGTGTCAACTAATTTGCCCAGTACTGATGTTAGACTTACCTGTCTGTAATTGCCAGGATCACCTCTCAAGCCCTTTTTAAATATTGCTGTCACGTTAGCTAACTTCCAGTCATTTGGTACAGATGCGGATTTAAAGGATAGATTACAAATCACGATTAAATGTTCCACAAATTTCCCATTTGAGTTCTTTCAGAACTCTTTGGTGAATGTCATCCGGTCCCAGTGACTTGTTACTGTTAAGTTTATCAATTTGATCCAAAACCTCCTCTAATGACACCTCAATCTGGGACAATTGCTCACATTTGTCACCTAAAAAGAATGTCTCAGGTTTGGAAATCTCCCCAATATCCTCAGCCGTGAAGACTGAAGCAAAGAATTAATTTTGCTTCTCCACTAAGACTTTATCATCTTTGAGGGCACCTTTAGCATCTCAATCGTCCAAAGGCCCCACTGGTTGTTTATCCAGCTTCCTGCTTCTGATGTACTTAAAAAAACATTTTACTATTACTTTTTGAGTTTTTGACTAGCTGTTCTTCAAACTCCTTTTTGGCTTTTCTTATTATATTTTTATACTGAATTTGACAAAGTTTATGGTCCTTTCTATTTTCCTCACTAAGGCTATGTCTAGATGACATGGCTCCATCGATGGAGCCATGTAAACTAGTTTACCAGGCATAAGCAAAGAAGTGGGGATTTAAATAATCTCCGCTTCATTAAAATAAACATGGCCACCATGCTGTGCCAACGATCAGCTGATCCAGCTCAGTGCGGCAATCTAGACACAGATCTGTGAGCTGGGGAAGCCTTTGCTGACTGATCCTGTAAACCTTGTTTCGCAAGGCATAAGGGATCGGTCGGCAAAGGCTTCCCTAGCTGACAGATCCACATCTACACTGCCGTGCTGAGCCGGATCACCTGATCATTGGCACAGCATGGCGGCCATGTTTATTTTAATGAAGCGGAGATTATTTAAATCCCCGCTTCTTTGCCTATGCTGGGTAAACTAGTTTACATGGCTCCATCGACAGAGTCATGTAGTCTAGACATACCCTTAGGGTATGTCTAGACGACGGGGTTTTGTCGACAAAACTATACCTGCATCTACACTACTACTGAGTTCTGTCAATATAACTAGTAGAGGGGATCCAGCATTTCACTGACACTTCCTGCCTGACTGCCCATGGAGCTGAATTTTATAGCACAAATTCTGAGCACCATTTATATATAAACAAATACTTAAATTTGTAACTACATTCTTCTCTTCTCTTATGACTTATGACAATTGATCTTATGACTGTCAAGTTCAGACCAATACATGTTCAAAGGATGGACCATTCCATGTCCCCTTTCCCTTCCCCTCCCCTTCATGGAGTGTGTGCTGTGACTGCCAGGTGAAAACTGTTGGCTTGTAATTCAAGTTTGAATTCTAGAAGACTCTGCTGATTGGCTGAGCCTTGGTAGGGGGAGAGACTTTCAGGCAGTCCAGATCTTTATAAAGCAGTGATCAAGTGACCAAGGAGCTTGCGAACAGGTGAGTGCCAAGAGGGAGTTAAGAAATGGAGTTTGGAAGGGGTGAGGGAAGGGGGCGAGGTTCTCTTTCCTTTCTTTTCCATCCTTTTTCCATGACAGCAGGTATGGACGGTGATAGGTCTGCTGTTGTTACCTGCACAGCATGTGCCATGTTTATCTTCCTTCCAGAAGAAAGAATGAATTTCATCTGCATTAAGTGACATTTTTGGGTAAAAAACTAGAGGACTGGAGGCCCAAGTGTCGACCCTATGCTCGATCAGAGAGGATGAAGACTTCCTCGATAGAAGGCAGCGTTTAATGCTGCAAGCACAGCAGGCAGAAGAGCCAGAGAGGGCAGTACAGGAGCAGGAAGAGAACTGGCAGCATGTAACTTCTAGAAGAGGAAAAAGGCCAGCACAGGAATCCCCCAATGCTATAGAGGTAAGTAATCGCTTTCAGGCTCTCTCCACAGGTTCTGTGGTGTTGAATGCTTTGGAAGGGGCCTCACAAGGAAGAAACCAGAAGTGAACACCATCTGCTGGAAGACATGGGATGCGTTGCCCCAGGGATGGAGGTTCCACAACCACCACCCCCAAAAGATGACAGGTGGTGGTGGTCGGGGGCTCCCTCCTAAGAGGGACTGAGCCATCCATCTGCCATCTGGACCTAGAATCTCAAGAGGTGTGTGGCTTACCGGGATCTCTAATTCAGGATGTGACTGAGAGGCTTACAAAACTAATCACTTCGGATCACTACCCTTTCCTGCTTCT